AATGAATTAGATAAAATATCTTCTGCCAAAGCAATCAAAAAAAAAACGCTAGAATTCAGTTTGAGGGATATTCTTTGCATAGACAAATTTCATGCATTTCGTTTGCTCTAGTACAGACTGTCAACCTCAATAATCACTTCTGATAGTATAATGTGATAGTAATAAAAAGAATTATGAATAAGCAGTGTAAACACAAATGCTTTTAAACAAAACAATCATTGTTTAACATCTGTCGCGCTTATCATGGTGACTCAAGGTGGTTATCAATTTCAAATGATCTCAGTGGTTCGCTAAAAATTGCAATAACACTGATTCAACATGTTGATGTTATTCAAAATCAATATTGAGCCAAAAATTCTAAAACAATAATTGTTATGCATTATTGTTGAAAATAATAACCATAATAACCTGAAAAACTTCGAGCTTTTGCTGATCTTTCTTAATGGTAGCCTCCATGGTGAAGTGAAATGCAGCCATACTTTTCGCCTCACGACATTTCGACTTTAACATCGGTAATAACCTTAAAATTAACACCATGATATTGCTTTCATGAAATGTTCCTTTATTCAAAATCAACTATTATTATCATATTGATCATTACTTCGCCATAAAAACACTCGTCAACAATGACAATAAAGGGACGATAAAGATCACTCTCTATATGAATAAATCACTAGACATATAGAAAACAGTTGAGCAGTTTTAATAAGTGATATTAAGAAAACATTCGATGAATTCGATAAATGCAATAATATTCATAAAGAATATGAGCAGTGAATGCGAATTCCGATTATTTGAATTCGAAATTTCCAATTTTAATTCTCTAGTTCTATACTAGTTACTCGTAAACGAACTTCTATGATTCATTCATCGAAATTATAAGATTCATAAAAGTTGCAGTGATATTCTTGAATGTAGATAACGGCAAAATAATTTGGTAAAATTAATTTGTGATTCTAATATTAAATTTCAGAATAACCAAAAAATATCAACTATTAAATATATTCGAACGAAGGTCAACACTAGCCGGATAGACAGCAAAGGATATAAATATACTCTAGATGTATTTATAAGCTGAGCACTTTATTGCTCAAAGACCCATTTAAAATATTACCGTGAATATATACAAGGTCCATGAACTTTGGATTATTTGAATAGGATGCCCAAGGTTGCTACCTTGGTAAATAATTCGTAAACTGTGCTGAATTTAGTGTGAATCGCGTGCTGAATTTTTTATAGCGATAAATTCTTGGAGACTGATTTATTTGCTGAGTGATCACCAATTTCTCGGTTTTGGCGACAGTTGAAAAGAACGAAATTTATCAGTGGCTGGTTGAGTTAGGTTAGGGTTTTACTCAATCAAACACCACTGCTTGTCTCCAACCGACCAAATTCAAACGTGCAGCTGTCAACAGAATGTATCATTCGGAACGCATCGAAAGTACAGATCGCTCAGCAACAGATGCCTCAAATCTCAAGTGCAGTCGTTGAAAAGAATCAGAGTACTCGTGCAATCAAAATTTCGAAATTGATAAACAAAAGTCGGCAATGATACGGCTTCTGATTACGTATCGGTAATGCATACCGAATCTAGTATTATGACTAATTTCCTACAAAATCGAATCATCAAATAACGTGAGCTTAATCGCAAGAATTCGCACGAATTTCGCTGGATTAATTAGTATTGAGCGTCATCGCATGTGTTCAGATGATAACTAGTTTATCTTATTGCACAGAAAAAGAAAAACCACACGGAAAATTTAGTGCTGGTGAATGCAAGGAAACACCCCTCTCCACATATTTACGAAATTTACTCAAGGTGTTTTTCTGAAAATGTGCCACGAATAAATCAACCACTTGCCTTTTTTGTTAGGCTTGATAGCCTGGTACTAATGCTCATTGATAAATTTGCAAAAGAACTGTGAATCAGGCGATTCAGCTC